AGTTTTGGGGAGGAGACAAGCTTGTAAACTCTAGTTTGATCGGAACTAACATGTGATCAGGGGCATGTGTACATCTGTGTTTTTTTTTTAAACAAATACTAGCATGTATAATTGCTAAACTATATCCTATTCTCAGGTGATGACGATGGAAAAAATGTTAATAAAATCATTACTAACAAAATATGTATAAGTAATGTGACCTTAAACACAGTAACAGATATGTAGAGAAACTTAGTAAGACTATACAAATGTGTTTGATTCTTTATAAATATTGTTTATTAATTTTCCATGCAGATTGCAGATATCCATTACTCTGCTTTCCATAAATATTTCATGCTGGTAGTAACTATAAATCTGGGAATGTTATTCTTACTTCAAACAAAAACGAGCTTGTTGCAAAAGACAGGATTTCATCCTTTTTTTGGCTGAGTAATATTCCATGTTGAATATATATACCAGAATTTTCTTTATCTCATCATCCACTGATGGACATTTGAGTTAATTTTATCTTAGCTGTTGTGATTTGAGCTTCAGTAAACATGGGCATAACAATAAGTGTAAGGCTGATCTCATTTTGTTTTGGTAAATTTCCGGGAGTGGGTTGGCTGGGTCATATAGTATGTAGATTTTCAGATCTCTTTCTGAAGTATTAGACTAATTTCTTTCTATGGCATGCATGTCTCTATTTTTCTAATTAAGATCTCTTGGGACTCTTTTTTTCCTTTTTTGTTTTCTCTTTTCACTTTCATATCATTATAAATACTTAAAACAGCTCACATTTGTTATTTCAAACTTTTATGGATAAGGCATGTATACTCACTTTAGCTGTGTCATCTTCACAGGGTCTCAAGGCTGTCCTCAAAGAACAGCTGAATTGCACCTCATCTAGAGGTTCCATTAGGCAAGAGTCCACTTTCAAACTCACTCTGAGCTGATTGCATTGTTTCCAGATGCAGTGGTTCTGAAGGCTCAGCTGGCAGCCGAACCTAGTGGGATTCAGAATCTCCTGCCATGGACCTGTTCCATAGGCAGTTCACAGCATGGCTATTTGGCCCTTCTAAGCAGGCAGGAGACTCTCTCTATCCCTTCAGCAAAGATACAGTTATCCAAAATAACATGAGCACATTTATTGATTTTGTTCTGAAGTGGGTAGGAGCAAGTCACATGTTCTACCTACACTTTGCCCATTCAGAATGTAGGAACTCTTGGAAGTTACACTAGAATGTATTTGTCATGCTCCCCATATGGATTTCATTTCTGCGATGCCTGATTACTGCTGTATTTTGGTATGTTGCTGAGTAGCTGCCTTCTACACATCTGCCGTTACTCGTCCATCTCCACATCCAGATCTGTCCTGATGGTCTCTCTATTCCTTTTCAAAGTGCATAAACCTTAGCACTTTATTGGACTCAAAGAATGGTAAAAATGTTTATGTGAAGTCTAGAGAGGGTGAAGCCAAGCGATTCTATTGATTGGCTGATTCTCCAAATGACTGCAGAAATCCTGGCTAGAATATGATGGAAGCTGGGAGCCAGATCTCCCAGACACCCAACCACTTAAACCATTACCAGCTGTGTTAGCAGTAAGCTAGCATCAGGAGTCAGATGCAAGCATTGAACTCAGACACTGTTAATGAGCAATTCAGGAATCTGAACTGGAAATCTATTAAGCTAAATGCATGCTCACCAATGGCGATTAAAAAAATTTTTTTTACATTTTTTATTATTATGATCATTTTATGATACAGTTCCATAGGCTCCTGGCATTTCCCTTATCCCCACTCCAATTCCCTCCCCCCACCTAGTTCTTCTATATCATTACTAAAATATAGTTCTTCATACACAGTCATATGTCCATCATTGTGAGCATGGACAATGGCAGAGAGTCCAGCATCTTATTGTCAAGATATAGTAAACAGATTCATTGTAATTCCATCTTTGTCTGAAAGTAGAAATGCATTCTACACTGTATCCTCACATCTGGATATGTTAGTCTCCATTTCACAGTTACTGTACATCCCCTTAAATGAAAAGTCATAATACAAAATCAACAATAGAAAGAAAAATAAAAATTTACAATGCCTTTAGGTTAAATGACATGTTGCTAGATATGACAGTCTCAATTACACAGCCATTATACATCCCCTTAAGTGAAAAGCCATAAAACAAAATCAACATCAGGGAGAAAAAAGAAATTAACAACACCATGAAGTTAAATAACATGCTACTGAATGACTAACATGTAGCTGGAGAAATGAAAATAAAGAACATTCATGAAGAAAATGATGCTACTCTATGATCTATGAGTCATTGAATGATTAAATCAGAAGAAAGCATTTTGAAGAGATGAAACTAACAGAAAACAACAAAACCCATGCGATATTGTTTCCGCTGATTTTTGTTGGTGAAGTGTGTCTCTTCTAGACAATAAATAGATGCTGTTTTGTTTTTAATCCAGTCTACTAATCTATGGCATTTGATTGAGCTTAAGCCATTTACATTCAGAGTTTAAAATGTATGGGTGGTACTTTCGTCCTGTCATTTTAGGAATGGGTTGTTCATTGGTTTAGTCTTCTGTTGTCATTTTACTCGGATGTTCTTCCCATTTGCCTTTGTTTTTGGTAGGTGCTATTTCTCTTCTCTGTCAAGAGAACATCTTGAAGTATCATTTGTAGGGCAGGTTTGGAAGAAGCAAATTCTTTTAGCTTTCCTTGACTGTGGAAGAATTTTCTTTCATTTTCAAAGACAAAAGAAAGCTTTGCTGGATATGTTATCCTAGGCCGACAATTTTTTTTTCTTTTAGAATCTGGAATATGTCACTCCATTTTCTACTTGCCGGTAGAGTTTCCTGTGAGAGATCTCCTGTGAGTTTAATTGGCATTCCTTTATATGTCAATTGATTTTTTTTCACGTGCACATTTAATGATCTTTTCCTTATTTTGGATTGAAGAGAGCTTGAAAATCATGTGTCTTGGTGAAGATTGCTTTTGATTAGGCCTGTTGGAAGTTCTGTGCCCCTCCTGGATCTTGTTTCCCAATTCTTTCTCTAGATTAGGGAAATTTTCCTTGATTATTTCATTAAATACATTTGCAAACTCAGCTTCTCTTTCTGCACCTTCCGGGACTCCCATAACTCTTATATTTGGCCTCTTACTAGTGTCTTTCAATTCTTGAATACTTTTTTTGGCCTGATCCAGCTCTGCTTCCAGATTTTTGTTTGCTACCCCCTGATGATAGGAAATACCTTCCAATTCTGAGATTCTTTCTTCTGCTTGCTTCATTCTATTTTGGAGATTCTCTATTGTACTTTTTAATTTGCTCCACTGTATTCTTCATTTCTGATATGTCAACTTTCATTTGCTTTATTGCTTCCTTAAATTCTTTGAACTCTTGTATGTGCATCTCATTGTTGATCAGAAACTTTAAAATGAGTTTTATAGATTCTATGTGCCCCATTTTCCTGATGTCTTCCTCAGTTAACTCTGAGGTTGGCATAGGGTTTTGCTCCTTTGCAGGGGAGTTTTCAGTAATATTCATTGTGTCTTTGTGTCGTCTTTGGCTCTTGATCATCATACTTCTGGTTATCAGATTCTTCTCCTTGGGGCAGGTTTCTAAGCTGTGTCACCCACAGGTCTACAGTGTGATTTTACTTATTGCAGTTGGTACACAACTTTTTGCTTGCAACCACTTGTGCCACAACCTCCAGCGAGTTCCAGGTCTGGGTTCTTATGTTACATTTCCACCGTGGTCTCCACAGCCCTTGCTCCTGGCTCACCACTCTCCACCTCCTGTGATACCGTGCTGAGGCTGCACCGTTGTCTCTGCAACCTTTCACCCACTTCCAGTTGGAGCAGGTCCAGGATTAGGGAGACACCAGGTGTCCTATATAATTAGGTTGCTGGTGGCGCTGATTTTGCCGGAACCTGTTGGACATTAGGTTTGGGTGCCACACGGACTTATTTTGGCCAGCGCGATGCCACAGTCGGTATTCTTTTCCTGTGGGACCAGTGCAATCCACTGAACTCAGTGAGTTCTCGCGAGCTCAGCACATGCACAGATCACTGTTGTCCCCTGCAGTCCTAAAGCTTTTGCCACAGTGCACAAAATGGCGCCCGACGTGCCACTACTAGAGTTCTTGATCTGCTGGCCATCAGGTCTGGAGGCTACCCAGACCTGCCTTGGGTGGAACCTGTAGAATGTCATGTCGCTGCAGTTCACTGAGTCAGAAATAAATTCACTCCCAGCTCAGCCTATGCTCAGTCCTTTCCCTTGCCTTTGCCTCCTTACACAAAATGGAGCCCAGTTCAGCTCTAGGGGGCTGACTGGGCATGCAATCCACCCTGTTCTTGCACTGTCCGTCTGGGTTCTGCTGCTCTGTCTCTGCTCCTGGTCAAATCAAATGTACCAGCAGGACAGACAGTTTTTCATCTGGGTTCACCTCCCAAGCTCCCAGTGAAAGTCTCTTCCTACCTGGTTGTTGGTGGAGTTCCTGGCTGCTGGTGGAGTTCAGATCACCGTGCTGGAGTATCATTCACTGCAACACCACACCTCTCTGCCCGCTGCTTTTCTGTGTCTGTCAGTCTCCAGGTATCCCTCTGCTGTTGTTCTGTCCTTTCGTATGTCCTGAAATACGTCCTCTCTGCTTCATTCTGGTTAATGCTTCTCTGTCCGTTTAAACGTGTCCTTACCCTATTCCACCATCTTGATTCCCTCAATGGCGACTTTTTTAAAAAACAATTTTGTTGGGGTGTAAAGGCATTTTAATAAGCAAATGAAGGTATACAGTGGCTAGCATTGTAAATTTCAACGTGCTTGGTGACTCTTTTTAAATAAACAGTCTAATTAACACATTTGGAATTATTGGCTCTTCAGACCAAAAGTTAACAAATTGGAAGATAATACAATCTTGACATTGCTTCTATAGTTTTATCAATGAATTCTATTTGTGGTATAACCTCATGACGCGTTATATTTACCTAATCAAATTTCTTTTTTTTCTAGATGAGCAAGAGATTGTACAAAAACGCACTTTTACAAAATGGATCAACTCCCATCTGGCCAAGGTAAAGGATACTACCCACAATTATAAGTCGATTTATTTTTAGCCAATGTCTCCGTAAGGAAAGCTTTTCCCACTGTTATGTCGCTGTTTCCAGTTCTCTTGATTATTCTTGCTAAGGTATAGCATTTACTGACCCTGCCTCTAGGAAGGATGCAAGTATGGATCTAGATATGAGCAGTTACTTCGTCTGTTCTATGAATCCTGCTGAAATATTTTATCCAGTTTTATCTTCTGTAATAACGTGCATCATGGTGCTGAGTTATTGTGTACATTTACTCCTGTTTGGGATAGAAATTAACGATGACTGGTCTCTATTGAGCACAGATTTTGGTGTGAAGAGATAGGGATTGTATCTCCAGTCCTCTCTTAGGTACTTTGATGAAAAGTAACCCTGGTGTAAGGACAGCACTTCAGCTGAACAATCCTGTGTTATTCTTACTGGTATTATGTTGTAATTGGGTGATTCTATCTAGTCATTGCTCTTCCTTGGAACATAAACAATAATACATAATTCAGTTTTGGTACATTGCAGTGAAGTCAATCTTATTCTGCTGACGGGAATGGAGAAGCATCATGCTTGTAAAACAACAACAGGAAAAGATCCATGTATAGGAAAATGGTTTGAATTCAATGAGAATGAGGGCATTGCCCTTGGCATTTAAGACCTGACCCTGTGACAGTTTTTAATCAAGGACTTTCCCACCACCACCCCTTGCCCTCTTTTTTTTTTTGCAATTAAACAATGCTTAGCCATTTATATTAGGCCTGTTCTAAAATTAGCTGTGCTTCTGCAGGTAACTTATGTGGTTAGCAAAGCTTGAGGGTTTCATACAGTTTTATAAGAGACTGTTAAATGAATGTATAGCCCTGTCCTTACAAAAATGTATCATGGAAAATAATAATGAAAAAATGCTAAAAGATGGATGTATCTCCCTAAAAACATATTTTATGTCAGTAGACAGACTTGGACAATCACTTTAATGGCTGGGAGGTTAACTAGTAGCCTCATGATGACTGTGTTTGGTTCAAAGTTGTTTATTATGTAGAATATTAAAACCCTTGGACGTACAGGTTTGTATACCCATGTGATTTCTGTTCTTAGAATAATTTTCTAAAGCACAATTACGATTTTAAAGAATTCTCCATTCCTATGAAAATCCCTACTGCCTCTTACTATTAAAATATTCTTCATTTTTTTTTACTATCTTCCACATTATACGATGAATCTCACTGTAATAAAATTTGCATTGTTTACCATGGCATTTACAATGTTTGACAGAAGGTGAATATTCTGAGATTTTTGTTGAATTGAAAGTGAGCAAACTAAATTAGTATCTGAAAAAGATGTCAGTATTGGAAGGTATCTTGAAGAGATCATAATCCTATCTTCTCAAAAATAAGGCAAGAAATGGTATCTGAGAAAAATGCTGCAAAGTGTTAGTAGTATTTCTCAATCTGATTGGCTGCAATCATTTGTAAATGATCAGTATGTATTCTTAAAATAGCAGTTGGAAAATATCTTTGGGGACACTTTTAAGGTACATTTTTTTTTTGTATCATACTTCTTTATGTAGTGAGAACTTAATCCAAATGCGTGCCGTGGCATAAAAGTACAGAGGGCCTCAATGGAGGAATGTGAGGTCAGGAGTTTGTTTTAAAATCTGTTTTATCATTTATCATTACCACAGGTCGCTTTGGGTATTCATGTGACAGTTGATTATTATATTTATTATAAGTAAGATCTACCGGTGTGTCTTTCTGTTCTCATTTTCTGTCCAGTGTTTTGACATTGTTTCTACGATTTCCTGTTTAAGTGAGCTTAATCTTTAATATGTGATGCAAGTTCCTTTTATTCATGAGGTCTGACCAAAAATGTGAAAGTGAACCTGTCTCGTAGCAAATGAGGCCCACTCTAGCTCTTCGCTGTTTCCTGACCTGGCTTTTCTGCGTCTGGCATTCCAGAATCCAAACTTCTGCTGCTTGTTAGAAATCTGCTGCAAATCTGGAAGAATCAGGTTGTCTTTTATCATTTTGAACTGTCTTGTGTTTTGTTTTCCTAGCATTTTAAGCATCTTAAGAAATTTCAAAATACATGTTAATTCTTGGAGTAAAAAAAAAAAATAAATCATAATAGCTCCATTATAGTGCTATCAGTTAGAGGTATCTAATAAATAAAACAGCCAGAACCCTTGAATGGCAAATACATCAGATCATTCATGAAAAAATATTGAGCGATATTTAATTTCAGGCATCATGATGAGTGCTTATCACAGGTCATTTCCCAGCATCCATCTTCATACCCTGTAAGTTGGTGTTTCTTCTACGTTACACATTTTTACTTGAATAACATCGTTTTGAAAGGGCAAGTAAATTATTATCTCCACAACGGACCCATAGTAGCCCTTAATATGATAGACTTTAAAACACTGTTTATTTTCACTGGTTACACTTGTTTTCCTTCAGCTATCTTGGAATATTTAAGCTGGAAAATGATACTCTTACTGCTGTTCCTCCTGAATCCAATACTATCAAATCTTATAAGCAGAATCAAAACGACATATTCCTTGGAGACCGTTTTTCCACTGTGGACTCACTTGTATCTGAAGAACATTCTCCAATGGAGTTTGGGCCATCTCACACTGCAACAGCAGAGGAGTTTTAGGATGACTGTGATGTTGGTGTTTATGCCCAGGTCTGTCTCAGCTGCTGATTCCGTAGTCATCTCTTGTTCTCTTCACATCCTTCACCTACCTTCTTCCTTACCTGGATTTGATGTTTCCAACTCTGCATCTCCCATTCTTTCTTGTGCCTCTCTCACATCTCTGATCTCTCCGTTGTCCCATCCCACCTCACCTCACGTGGTTCTCTAATACGCTCTACCCCGTCTCCTCCCCTTTCCATCTGTTTCACAGTCTCCCTGTCTGCATCACTTCTTTATTCCCATCTCTCTCTCTCATTCCTATAAAATCACATTCAGCCTACACTTTTGAGACTTTGCGATGTCAATGAAGTCAGGTTGTGATTACATGAATATTGTGATTATTATGATGAAATACATTGCAATTATTTTAACCTTGATTACTGCAAAGTTAAAATGCAGCACACCCTTCCCTCTCCTTCACAATATGTCCATTTCTAAGAATTCTGCTTGGAATAGAAAGTCAGTTCTGCTTTTTTATATGGGCTCTGGATAAAGATATGATGTTAGTTTGTTGCTGTTTTTGTAAGCAGACTTATTCCCAGAGCCAATCTGTACTGCTGGGTTGTGTGTTCTCATCACTCTAGCAGCACGTGACATGTACACAGGCACACACATTGTGTGGTGAGTCAGGCTCTGCAATATCCTAGGCTGTGCCCACGAACTCAACATGCATCCCAGGAAAACAGTTCACTAATCTTTTCACCCTCACCTCAGCTGTTGATCACCCATCTGCACTGATAGCTCTCCCAGAGAACACATTTCCAGTGATGGAACAGGCCTAGATCCATTAGAATAGAAGCATTTCCCAATAAAGAAAATAATCCATGCACAGCAAGCTGAACCACCTCAAAGTCTGTCTTCATCTCCCAGAGCTTCTGGGAAGCAAGTTTTTCGTTGTCCTTGTTTGCAAAGTTATCCCAGGTGGGTTGTTTATCCTACACATTGGAAATATTCTTGCCTAACCACGGACTCACCGTAATGGCAACTTTGAAGAGACCTGGGTTCTAAAATTTGTTCGATTCAGTCTAGTTTGCTATATTGTGTGCTTACTTTTTCTTATCTGTTGGGTAATCACTGTGTCATTTTTCCTTGTCACTGAATTAGGACGCTCTATTAGTTCAGGCTTCTATAATAAGGCAGCAGACACTGGAAAGCTTGAGCAGCAAGTATCTACTTCTCACACCTAGAGGCTGGAAGCCCTTGGACAAAGTGTCAGCATGTTTTGTTCTTAGTGAAGATAAGACTATCCTGGATGGTTGAAGGATTGTGTCCTCACATATGAGAAAGAGGGACACACACACACACACACACACACACACACACACACACACACACACACACGTGGTAGGGATTACAGGGAGAGCGCCAGCCAGCCAGCCAGCTACCTCTGCTGTCTTCATCTTTTTGCACACACCCTAGAAATTCTGCTTGTATAACTCCACTCAAACCTGATTACTACCCAAAGATTTCTTTCTCCAAATATCCTCACATTGGCATTAGAACTTCAGCACAGAAATGTTTGAGTGGGACATGGATGTCAAGTCCATAACAAGCCCCATCTTCTCTCTAGCATGAAGCAAATGAGGATTTCTGCTCAACTGAACATGATGGCAAGTCAACCCTGATATGGCGACAGTGACGAGCTAACTTCTTCCTCACCTGTTTTCTTGTGTATTAGCTACTTTTCCACATAGCTCTGTGATTTGTAATGATTTCATATCCTCTCTTCACTAAGCCACCGAGGTTAAAAATGTATTTTATTTCTGTGTTTTGTCTCCCACCTCCACATATAAAATCCACTTGACATCCACTAATAAAGAGAATAGCCATGTCAAAAATATTTTCATACTAATAATCAAGATACTGCTTTTAACTAGCCAGTGCTCCAATGTGTACCAAGTTATTTTACCTGAGAAAAGTAGTAACTGGACAGAAAAATGTTTTCAAATATTTTCTGAAATGCAGCTTTTTAAGTATTTTTTAGATTCTTTTTGTGTGGGAACTTTTGTGATGACAATTTTATGGATGTAACATAGAATAATCATGTTTTAAGATCCAGTATTTAAAGCTAGTGTTTCTTAGTAATACTTAAGTAATGCCTGCCTTAAAATGAAGTATTGTAAGAGTTAAAATTCTACATTGAAGGATAGTGTTTTTTAAACTCCTTATCTAGAAAGAAAATTTATATCTCTCCTTTTTAAAAGAATCTCCTTTGAAAACAGACTCATTGCAGTGGCCTGTGAGAGCATCATTTTATACTGTGGGCCATCTGACAATACAGCACATTCATGAGGGTCTGG